CATCCCCGGCCCCGCAACCCGCCGCCGGCCCTGCCAGCCCCCCCGGCCGGCCGGGGAGCCGCAGCGGGGACGTGGGGACGATGCTCAGGGGGAGCGGAGCGGAGCGGAGCGGCCGCAGCAGCGGGGCAGGCGCCGGGAGCCGCAGCCACCCCCGCGCCCAAAGAGCGGCCCGGTGGCGCGGCGGGGCCGGTGGCACGGCGGGGCCGGGACGGAGCCGGCTCGGCTGCAAAGCAGGCGCTGGATTTCCTCCCGCAGCCTCCGCCCGCCCCCGGGGGCCGGCCCGCCGCGGCTCGGCCCCCTCGGGGAGGGGGGACGGGGACAGGCGTGAAAAGACCCGAGGCCACAAAAAGGGGCGGTGGGCAGGAGGAAGATGCTCGGGGGGCTGCGGGATGGGGCGAGCGGGGGCGGCCGGAGCCCCGGCCGGGCGGGGGAAGCACCGGGCTGTTACCGATGATGGGAGGGAGCGAAGGCGCACAGGTGACAGCGGCTCCGGGAGAGGATCTTCGTGTCACCTGGGCTTCACACACCGCTAGCCAAAGAAAAAATGTTAACTGCGAGCGTGTGGATATCATCAGCACGTGTTTTCATCCGAGGATTAGCTCAGCCCATGAGCTCAGCCCCCACCAGCAGCGCTCAGGGCTCTGCCCAGCCCCTAGCTGGCCACATCTGGGCTTTATGGCATGACACGGTCACAGCCCTGCGGGAGGTGTCCCCCACGAGATGAAGGGATGTGACCCACGGTGAGTCAGTGCCAGGCCCCCCATGCACAGGCAAAGGGGGGATTAGGGACCAGGGCACTGCTCTCGGCCCAGCAGGGACTCTAGAGAACCCCTGCAACATAATTTTGTTTTCAGAGGCAGAGAGAAATAGGCAAAACTGTTTGTGATTCATCAGCCCCCTGTGCTGAGCACAGCGTGCTCCAGCCCTCCTCACACACTGCTGAGAAACTGCATCACAGGGCCCGGGCAGTTGCTGCTGACACCACCAAAACCTGGACTTTCATGCCTCAGCTCCCTCTGCAGCTGAAATAACATCAGCCTGCCAGGGCCCTCCAGCCCTGCAGCTTTATTTCCAGTGAGGACATGTAGCCAAGGCTCACATGTCCAGCTCTGCCCAGGGCACCAGCAGCTCCTGCCCGGGCAGGAAGGGATTAACAAAGCTGCCAGGCTTTGATAGGCTTCAAACTGGAAAGTTTACCAGGCAGAAGGATGAGCCAGGACAACGTGGGCTATTGTCCTGCTCTTTCTGGAGCCAAAGAGGTCAAAGGGGACTTCCTGGACACCCTGGGAAAGGGAACCCAGCCCAACAGCAGGGCCTTGCACTGCCTGTTGCAGCCCCACATCTTTGGGGGAAATACACATTTTAAACCTGCTCAGGCACAGAGATCCAGCCCTGATCCCTGCCCAGGCCACCCTGCAGTGCCAGGTGGGTCACTGGAGCTCTCTCCACCACAGAAAGATGTGATGCTCCGTGCAGAGGTGTCCCCAACCCCACAGACACGTCATGCAGGAGCCACGTGGCACTGCAAGATGTGCTGTGAAACTCAGTGCTGTGCATCACTTTGCTCAGGACATGCTGAAATCAGAAGCAGGGACCTGTTTTCTAGCAGAAATCAGTGTTGCCTCTCTGAGCTGTGAAATATTTGGGAGGGAGACTCTGCTTTGCTTCATGTTTGAGTCTCAGGGCAGAATAATCACAGCCCACCCCTGGAATTGCTTGGCACCACTCGAGTGCACACAATAAACAACAGCACCACTCATTTTCAGCTGGCAAAGCCCTCCCAGAGCCTCCAGCTTCGTCTGACCTCTGCAGAAAGATGCAGCTCTGTTTGATGGGCAATTTTCACCATCCCTCGGTTGACCACTAAAGATGGTTTCAGGGGAAAAACACTTCTGATAATGGATAATAAATAATATAAGGCAGGAAGGCAACTGCAGGGGTTTAAAAATAGCCAGTCAGTTTCCTTTCTCCTCTCTGGGGAACCTTCTGGGTCTGAAAAGCAAAACACTCAAAGCAGGGTCAGAAGCCTAAGTTCAGGATGTTTGCTCTGAGTAGCTAACCCCAAACACTCAGCTGTCAGGGCTAAGGCTCTTGAAAATCATGAGATTCAAACCAAATAACTTTTCAGGGCTTCTTATTCGCCTCTAAGCACACAGCTGAAAGGGAACAGGCAGGATCACACCCTCAGGTTTCCCTCTGGCACCCTTGAACACCTAGAAATTGTTGCAAAGTGTGATTAATTGACATGCACGTGACTTCAGGGATTTAAGAAAATGCTCAAAGCTTGAGTGACTCGTTAAAAAAATACACTGTCAGTTTGCACTTGGCAAACTCGGCAAGAAACTTTTCACAACACACGGAGCTTTTTGATGTCATCTGTAAATGTCCCATCGACCCTGGCAGGCCCAGGAACTGGATGCTGTGGGAAATCCATCAGTTTTTGTCTTTCCACCACTCTGAAATCAGCTCTTGGCTGGATAAATACAAACCCACGCAGCCAACACTGGAGCAGCCCTGCTCTTCTGCCGCAGTCTCCAGCCTTTCCTGCATGGTCAATAATGTGGAGAAGGTAACACAGAGAAGCTTTAGGAAGCTTTAAACCAGTTTTCTGGTATGGGAATCAATCTGGGTCAATCTGTTATAGTCAGGACCTGGAGATTCAGACCTCAGTTAATAACTGGGCTCAGCCTGGACCCCGACTTGTCTCTCCTCAACACGTGGCATCTGAGCATTCCCTCAGCTACCTCCTCCAGCCCTCCTTTGCTTTTATCTCCCTGCTCTGCTGCTGAGTGGGGCTTTCCAGCCTATTTCCTACAGGGCAGAACTCACAGTCACCCAGTTCCTGTGCTCAGTGCTGCTGTAGGGTTTTTGTTCCCTCACGCAAGGCTGCCCACCCCAAAGTGTGGCTCACAAACACTTCCACAGGAGCTGCTCCTGCCTGGCATCAGCTGTCTGCAAACACCCCAGTGTTCCTGCCACCACCCCCAGGGCACTGCCACCACCCCCAGGGCACTGCCACCACCCTGACAAACCCGTATTCTCTTTGAGCCTCAGTGAAGCCACAGCAGGACCAATGCCAAGAGCTGCAAAGAGCTGATCTCAGCCCTGAGAAGGCAGGAATCACCCTCACCGCCTCTAACTGAGCCCCTCTGGAGCATCTCACACCTCCAGCTTTCATTGCTGGAGCAGTGAGGGACCCAGGACCCAAAGCAGCAGCCTCTGAGGGGAACTGGGCTGCTTTATGTGAGAGTTACAACATTATCCGGCCTCTGTCCCGAGCTCTGGCACCAGCTCACAAGGCACATCTGTGTCAGGCTCTGACACGGAGCCCTTAGCACTTCCTTCTATTGTGAAGCTGGGGAAGCCCTTTTCCTTGCTGTTTTTAAGGCATTTTGGAGAAAAAGTGCTACCTAGTCACAAGAATTACTAACTGAAGGTTAGCCATTATGTGCTAGATGAAAACCTTTTGGGCATTCCAATTGTAATTGGAAAAGACTTTTGTTTTCACTGCCCAGGCTCAGTTGGAAGGATATTTTATAAGAAATAATAATAATAATAATAATAATAATAATAATAATAAAAATCCCAGTAAACAACCAGTGCTATCTCTTCCACTTCAGGATGAGGGGGAAAGCTTGTGAAAGAAGGGAAAATAATGTCACAACTGCATACAATCATACAATCCATATAGAGACAGGAGATTGGGTCCGCCCCAAATTTGGGGACCAACAGATCTCAGACCCTCACAGACCCAATTCTCACTCACACCATGATCAATGCCCTGATTTAAGCAGATTTTAGATGAGAGCCACCCACCACTTGCCACAGCTTACAGCAGGCATGGATTTCAGGAGATTCTCTGCTGAGTATTTCAGATCTAGGGCAGTTGGATCACTCTGCCTCCAGGTTTTGGGTGTTTCTCAGGACCATTTTTGACAGATCAGGCACTGTGCACTCTTTGTGCTGGCAGGGAGGAAGGCTGGCTCAGGCTCTCCTGCCCTTTGTGCCCCCTCTGTCAGGGACAGCCATTCCCCTGCTCCCCCTGACCCGCACGGGCAGGCAGCGATCCACAGCCGGGTTAATTCGGGAGCACAGCTCTCCTCCACACCGAGCATTAACACACACAGGCAAGCCCCTAATTACTGTCAGCTCCTAGCAGAGGAAGCACAGCAAATCTCTGGGCAATCAGGATCTAAAAGTCTCCATCCAGCTATTCTGTGTTTCATTTCCTGCAGCCCCTGTGCACTGCTGGGCTACAGCATCTCCTGCTCCTGAAGCTCAGCAATTATTCCACAAGATTTGGAGACTCAAGAGCATGCAGGAACATTTCTCCTCCATTCTACTCCTTACACCACCCCCTTGGCTGTAGCAGAATCACAGATTTTTTGGGGGGTTGGGTTTTTTAGCTTCCAACAGGTTTGTGTTGAAAGGGACCTTAAAGATCATCTCATTCCACCCCCTGCCATGGGCAGGGACACCTTCCACTATCCCAGGGTGCTCCAAATCCTGTCCAAGCCTGGCCTGGAATGCTCCCAGGAATGGGGCAGCCACAGCTTTCCTGGAAAACCTGTTCTAGGGCCTCAGCACCCTCACAGGGAACATTTCCTCCACGTGTTTAATCTAAATCCACTCTCCTTCATTTTAAAGCCATTGCCCCTTGTCCTGTCACTCCAGAGCTTTGTTCAGAGTCCCTCTCCAGCTCTCTTGAAGCCACTTGATGCCCTGGGATGCTAAGATTGCCCCAGAACCTTATCCTCTCCAGGGAATTTATCAAGTATTTGAGGAGCTTCTATGAGGGCAGCAAGCAACAATACAAACCTCTGTTTTCTAAACTTTCTGACCTCTAAAAGCTCATCAGAACAAGGCCAGCATGTGAGGTGGTGTGAGATCAAGCCACT